CCTGAATCTTCGTTTGCGAAGAAAAGCCAGAGAGATAAATCTTAAATGATCAATTTCTTTCTTTTCTTTTTTTTACCTTCCGAGGCAGCAAATACCTTCCAAGGCAGTATATGAAATCTTAGCATAGTTGTGTGAGAACATCTGTAGCACCATTTTAAAAATAGAAAAATAAATTTTAACCTTAAATTTTAAAAAAAATGTTCTCTTGACTCTGCCCTTTCACTCTTTTTCTTTAGTAAAATCCCAATTAGTTATCTGTGATTTCATGATTAGACAAAACAGGTTCACAAATAAGATCTCATTTTTATATTTCTTTTGATGGGTGTTGTCAGGGACTTTCCATATAGAAAGTTATCTTTTGAGTCTACATCTTGACAAAATTACCAGTGCTTTATTGTGCTCTTCACACCTCCATGTTTTCCAGCACTGGGACTATTCATGTTGTTTCCCTATATTCCAACCACAAGAATACATCAACAGATATTTTTTCTGGTCTCTTTTTAGTTTTAGCTAAGCAGAGGAAAATCCTCATGGTGTTTATGGTCCATTGCTTGGCTCACTTTGTTGAGCCCTCTTCTTGGTTGTTGTTGTTGTTGTTGTCGCATGCCTTCAAGTCATTTCCGACGTATGCCTACCAAATCATAGAGTTTTCTTGGCAAGATCTGTTCAAAGTGGGTTTGCTCTTGCCTTCCTCTGAAGGTGAGAGAGTGTGAGCTGCCCAAGGTCACCCAGTGGGTTTCCATGACTGAGCAGAGATTCGAACCCTAGTCTCCAGAGTTGTAGTCCAATATTCAGCCACATGCCGGCTCTTCTTGGTTACAACACCCTTAAACCCATAAAGCAGGGGTAGGCAACCTAAGGCCCGGGGGCTGGATGCGGCCCCCCCCCCGAGGCCATTGGACCAGCCCCAGGCCAGTCCTGCCGCCTCCCTCGCCGTCACCCCCTGCCGCTGCCCGCCATGATGATATTGATTATTGTTATTACTTGTTCTTGGGGTTTTCTTGGCAAAATTTCCACAGGGATTTTGCCATGGCTTTTCTGGGGCTGAGGGAGTGTGCATGCATTTTTTTAAAAAATTATTTATTTATTTGTTTATTTATTTATTGTGCTTCGGCCCCCCAATTGTCTGAGGGATAGCAACCCGGCCCCCGGCTCAAAAAGGTTGCCTACCCCTGCCATAAACTAAGCCCCAAAATAAAGAGTGAGTAACATTTGTTTGCACACAGTCAGCGGATATGAGCCACAAACCCATACTAGCAGCAGTGTAGCCAAAGCAAGTACAATTATTACCTCATAAAATGTGAGGAAGCAATAAGAGGCCAGGACTTTATCTGAGCTAAGAAGTCTTGCCAAGACAGACACTTCAAGCCCAAGTAAGTTTACATTGGTTACTACTATTGCCCTGTCTCTATTGTCTGAGGGAGAATGTCCATTGTTTCTAAGCATGTGGAGAGCAGCCCTGCCAGGAACTGCCACAGCAGCTCTTCCGCCTCCCCTTTAGACACCTTTATGGCATTCCCCTGGAGATTTGTGGTGGACACACACAAAAAAACTTTTTTGCCAAGCCAAGTATGACTCTGAGGTTCAAATTACAGCTGCTTACGCAATTGTGTGACAGGCTGTTCCTGGGCACAGAGGAGGGAGGGTGGAGAGACACTGTTTAACCCCATCCACCCCTGGATTTCCCCTGACTACCCTGCTCCGCTTCCTTAGGCCTCCTGTGAGTAGACTGCTGGGATTGTGAGATCTAGTTGATTTATTTACTGGAGCAGCTATGTCTGAAACAGTGGCTGGGAGAGAAGAGGCATACATTTGAAGGAATGTGTGCGCGCGTGTTGTTTGCCTTGAAGTTGTTTCCAGCTTATGGCGAACCTTTCATGGAGTTTTCTTGGCAAGTTTGCTATTGCCATTCTCTGAGGGTGAGAGAGTGGGACTTTGCCCAAAGTCACTCAATGTGCCGAGCAGGGATTCAAACCCTGGTCTCCAGTCATAGGCTCAAACCACTATGCCATGTTGGCTCTCATTTGTAGGAAAACCTTCCTATATATGTTTATTTGAGAGTAACTCTGGACTAAAGTAGTTTCAGATTGCTTCTTAGGAGATAGGGAACAAGAGTGTCCAGGCATTTGCTTCCAGTTCCAAAACTAAGCTTACAGTGAAGTCCTTCCGTATGAAAAAATCCATTCCTGATTTTCCCTGATTTCCCTGATGCTTATTTGTTTTAAGAGCCAAATTTGTGTCAGGATGGAGAGAAATCTTTATCACTGCCCCATTGGAAGGCATAGCTGTGTTTGTTGCAGCTGCCTCGACCTGCCTCCCTTAGCTTGGCCTCTGTTTCTGTGCCATGGCAGCTATCTAAACATTTGTCCCACCAAGCTGCCAGGCATGTGTGCCACCATTGTGGGTTGCTCACTTTTGAGCAACTTTTGAGCACTTTTGAGATGGCCAGCAACAGTCACATCCATGGCTGACCTCAGAACAAGCGACCTGTGCCAGTGGCAGATGTGCCAGGCGGCCCAGCTCCAGATCTTCCTAGAAGGCCTGGAAAAGGTAAAGGTAAAGGTATTTCCCGTTGACAAGGTTGTCAAGTTGTGTCCGACCATAGTGGGTGGTGCTCATCTCTGTTCCTAAGCCGAAGAGCCAGCGTTGTCAGAGACTACTCTGTGATCATGGGGCCAGCATGACTGCACAGAAGGCTGTTTATTTTCCCACCAAAGTGGTACCTATTTATCTACTTGCATTTGCATGCTTTCAACTGCTAGCTCACCCCATCATGTAGTACCCGGGCCTCGAACTGCCAACCTGTTGATCTTGCAATCAACAGAGTCAGTGTCTTAACCACTTGCATTCGTAGAGGGTCTGGAGCAACAGTTGAATCATTTTGATGCTTTTTAACCTTGTTATGCCAAGGTTCTGGTGTGAGACTTGCTGGACTGCCTGCACCATAACTGAGGTTTGGGCTATGCATCATCTAAACAGGACAAAGCCAGAATTGAGGGTGGGGGGACAGGGCTTTTGGCCTTTGCAGACAAAGTGTAACGGAGAGGCTGCACCTACACTGCAGAATGAATGCAGTTTCACACCACTTTAACTGCCCTGGCTCACTGCTATGGAATTCTGGGATCTGAAGTTTTGTGAGATAGTTAGCCTTCTCTCTCAGAGCACTCTAGTTCCACAACAAACTACAAATCTCAGATTCCCTAGGAATCTCCCTTATCCTTGTCACTATTTGATAAGCAAGCTTGTTTTCTGCAGCTCCAGAGAGTAGGACCTGGAGCAATGGATTCAAACTAGAGGAAAAGAGATTCCACCTCAACATTAGAAAGAACTTCCTGATAGTAAGAGCTATTCGACAGTGGAGCGCACTTCCTCGGAGAGTGGTGGAGCCTCCTTCTGAGGAGGTTTTCAAACAGAGGCTGGATGGCCATCTGGTGTGTGCGTGTGTGCTTTGACTGTGAGTTCCTGCATGGCAGGGGGAGTTGAACTGGATGGTCCTTGGGGTCTCTTCCAACTCTATGATTCTGTGATTCCAATTCTATGATTCTAAGCAATTGGAATAATAAGTTGTGGATCTACTGAAGATGGTCCAGTAGTTTCTGGTTTGGCTTGGACCTCTCTCCTACCTTTTTGTTGCCAGGAATAGTCACTGTGGAAGGGCCATTCATTCCAACCCCCTGCCCCAGTCATTATGGATGATACATCTTATGAGGGGTGGGTATGTCTGGAGTCCTCCTCCTCCTCCTCAGGCAGCAAAATGTTTTGTTTTGTTGTTGTTTTTGCCAGCCCTGGCCTCTCTTTCTCCCCTCAAGAAAGAGAATGAGAAAGAGTTGAGCAGCAGCTCCCTGCCAGACACAACATGTTCCTTTTGGTCATGTAGCAGAGGGAGGAATTCCTTCCAGGGGATTTTGGAGAAAACCCAGCTTCCTAGGCTCTCCGCGTGCCAAGCGAACTGAAGGCAGACGTATGTGAGTTTGTATTCTCTAAAGCAGGCGAAGCGCCTGTAGTGACCTGGACTGCGTGCGCACTGCAGAAATAATCTGGTTTGACACCCATGGCCCAATGCTATGGAATCCTGGGGGTGGTAGTTTGTAGAATTCAAACTACCATGCCAAAAATTCTCCCATTCCCAGAACTTTTATACCAGAACTCTACCATTCCCAGAACTTTTATACCAGAATTCTGCCATTCTGGTATAAATTCTACCAGGTTGCTAATCTAGTAGGAAATCCTAACAATTACCAATGCGTACCTTTATTATATTGTATTCCAATCTTGCTTTTCAAGTCCATTTCCATGGCCCTGAAAAACTCACTAGTTGTAAGTCTAAGGCTACAGCTGTGCTGCAGCAATAATGCAGTATTATTATTAGCTTTATTTATTAAGCCCAGTAGATGTACACAGCGCTGTACAAAACCAAATAAAATCCAGAATATATAAAAAGAGCCTGCCTGTGGTGTACAATCTAAAAGTAAAACAACAAATTAAAACATCATAAACATGCAATGTGACATTGCTTTAACTGCGATAGCTCAATGCTATGGGATATTGGGATTTATAGTTTGTTGTGGCACCCAGACTCTCTGACAGACTGGGCTAAACCTCTCACAAAACTACAGGATTCCATAGCATTGAGCCAAGGTGGTGGTGTCAAACTGGATTATTTCTGCAGTGCAGATGCAGCCATGTCCAGTCTCTCATGTTTCAAGAGGTGTGTGTCCTCTCCTCACCTTTCCTTGAGCTGACCAGCAAAGGGAAATGGACATCCGCTCCCAAGACCTTTACAATGGCGAAACCCCCTCCTCCCTTGAATGAATTTTGCCAAGAAAACCCCAGGACAGGTTTGCCTTCTTGTTATTATTGTTGTTGCAGTGTGCCTGCCTTCAAGCCATTTCTGACTTATAGTGACCCTACTATTGGCAAGATTTCTTCAGAGGTTTGCCCTGGCCCTTCTCTGAGGCTGAGAGAGTGTGCCTTGCCCAAGGTCACACAGGGGGTTTCCATGGCCCAGTCAAGATTTGAACCCTGGCCTCCAGAGTCATAGTCCAAGGCTCAAACCACTATGCCATTCTGCCTCTGCAAGGTTCAGCTTTTGGATGGACAGTGTGGTGTATCGGTTTGAGCGTTGAATTACGTTTCTGGAGAGGAGGGTTTGAATCCCTGCTTGGCCATGGAAACCCACTGGATGACCCTAGGCAAGTCACACTCTCTCAGCCTCAGGGGAAGGCCAGGGCAAAGCCCCTCTGAAGAAGCTTGTCAAGGAAATGAAAGAGAGGGGCCTTGGACTGACCGATCATGCTGCTGCTGCTGCTGAGGGTGACCGCCAAGGAGGACCAGGCACCGCAAAATGGAGGACCTTCCAGAAAAACCAAGGGACGACGAGGCCAAAGATAAGCTCAAAATGCTCCCAGAAAGGGAACATACTAAAACGAATGATAGTACTTGCCCATAGGGAAATCATACTTGCTCATAGAGAATCGTTGGAGAATGCTTGCCCAGAATTGCGGGGAATACTAGTATTCTCCAATGTTTCATAGAATCATAGAATAATAGAATCATAGAGTTGGAAGAGACCACAAGGGCCATCCAGTCCAACCCCCTGCCATGCAGGAACTCCCAATCAAAGCATCCCCAACAGATGGCCATCCAGCCTCTGCTTAAAGACCTCCAAGGAAGGAGACTCCACCACACTCTGATTCTCTGTGGGCAAGTATGGCTTCTCTATGGGCAAGTACTGTCATTTGTTTTAGTACTAAAACAAATGGTAGTACTTGCCTATAGAGAATAATTGGAGAATACTCCCATAGGGAAACATAGGGAAACCCTACTTGCCCATAGAAAATCAATGGAAAATATTCCCATAGGAAAACACAGGGGAATACCTGTCCATAGAGAATCAGTGGAGAATATTCCCATAGGGAAACACAGGGGAATACTTGCCCATAGAGAATACTCCCATAGGGAAACAC